GTCTGACTGTGAGTATGAGCACAGCTCATCGGCTAATTTTCTTTTGGACCATATTAGTGATCGATTTAATTTACAAGTTTTGAAAGCACCACTGTTTTACAACCAGTCTCCTTTGATGTCAGGTCAACGTTACACAAGTGAAGTCTGCTTTTCCGTAGTTGATACTTACGTAAAAAAGCATAGTAGTTGAGCTATCCACCCAAAATCTGTTATTCCAGGCGAAGGAAGAAAACGTTGCCTCTGGTCAGCGCAATGGACGCTAAACTTTTGCGCAGAATACAGAAGAAACGCGAGGAGTTTGCTCGCCTGCCACATACTTCGTCTTTGAAAAGAGCTATGCGTGAGAGCTACTTCATGCATATTTATCATACGGTAGCTATCGAAGGAAACACGCTGACGCTTGGGCAAACACGGTAAATTTTTTCCCTTTCACCTGCTTTCCCACAGCGCTTGTATATCAAGTGGAAATTCACATGCTAAAACATCAACTATGACACTGGCGTATACATCAAGATTTTTAGCTCCATTTTGGAATCTGGCGTGGCCGTGGCTGGGAAGAGTATTCATGAACACAATGAAGTAATTGGAATGGACGCTGCGCTTAGGTTTCTCAATCATTCCCTTCTCCACATGAGCGAAATCACTTTGGACGTAAGTTGTATTGTGCTTTTGGAGTCTTGTATTGAAAATTTCTATGCAGGACATTCTGGAAATGCACAGAAGAGTTTTGGGCAACGCAAATCCCATCGATGCAGGACGTATTCGAACCACTCAGGTACCCAAAAATGAAAGCACATGTAATGAGCAACTTATTGGAATAACTTAGGTATATGTCGGGCATTTTACTCCTGTGGGCCCTGAATATGTTAAGGAGCAGCTTGATGAGCTTGTTAATTGGCTCAGAGATCCCTCGACGATGGAACTGGATCCAGTTGAGAGAGCTGCTATTGCACATTATAAGCTTGTAAGTGTAGTGGTTATTGGTTTCTCCTCGATTTTT